AAAGGGTGGTGCTCACTACAAAAGGTAGTGAGTCTTTTTTAAAACGTTGTTTCCACATGGAAAACAATACTTTTTTATCAAAATCGGATGACTTCAAAACCAGACCGTGATTTAAACGGGATTAATATTAATGAACAGAAATCTAAAAATTAAAACACGAATTTACATGTTCAAAATAATCTGGAATTAAGTTAAACTAATCAGTTGTTATAATCAACAAAATTTCAAAACATCATTACTATAAAAGGCCTAAAACAATTGTTCATAAAAACCCTAAAATCATGATTTTCAATAATTAAAACCCTAGGTTATAAAATTTACAAAATCTGAAAATTATGACATTTATAAAATCTGAAATTTATAATCTTTATACCATCAAAATATAATTTGATACTAAAAATATAATCTTTATACTAAAATCAAAACCCAAAACAATTATATTAACATTAAGCAAAATAATGAAACAAAGGAGGATGAAAATAAGACTAAATTTATTTTATTTATAATATTTATTTGTTATTTTTCATAATTTAATTTCAAAAGTTTCAAATTATTAACCTGGGTCGAAAATTATTTGAACAAATTATTTTATTCACCTTTATTCTACAATTTATGTCCTATCACACAAGCCTAAACCATTTGTTTACTTAATCGACCCATTATTTTTATGAGGCCCAATCTTTATTTTTACCCTACAATAATTCTCTCCTATAAATACCCCATGAATCTCCAAAAATTTCCCACACAAATAGGTTAGTCTTATTTTCATCCTCCTTTGTTTCATTATTTTGCTTAATGTTAATTTAATTGTTTTGGGTTTTGATTTTAGTATAAAGATTATATTTTTAGTATCAAATTATATTTTAATGGTATAAAGATTATAAATTTCAGATTATATTTATGTTATAAATTTCATATTTTATGAATTATAAACCTAGGGTTTCAATTTATTAAAAATCATGATTTTAGGGTTTTTATGAACAATTGATTTAGGGCTTTTATAGTAATGATGTTTTGAAATTTTGGTGATTATAACTACTGATTAGTTTAACTTAATTCCAGATTATTTTGAAAACATAGATTCGTGTTGTAATTTTTAGATTTTCGTTCGTTAATATTAATCCCGTTTTAATCCCGATCAGATTCTGAACTCATCCGATTTTGATGAAAAAGTAGTGTTTTCCATGTGGAAACAACGTTTTAAGAAAGACTCACTACTTTTGGTAATTAGCACCACCCTCTCGTGGCCAAATTCAGCCTCTAAATATGATTTTCGGGCAGTTTTTGATTTTAACGAAGTTTTTTTTATACTTAAAATATTATCCTTGAGTTTGATTAATAAAATTAATTATGTTTAAAGTTAATTAAGCATAAATATATGTTTTTATTGAAGTTTTAAGTGTTGGAAATAGTTTCTAAGTACTACTTTTGATGTTTTATAAAGAGGGTTTAATCACCCATTGAAAAGGGAGATTTTTAAGGGTTTTTATATAATTTTCAGATTTTTGTTAGACTTTGAACTTGCTGTAATTTCATGTATAAGAGTGTATTTTAAGGTTTTTATAAATAAAATTTAAAGAACTATATATAAGCCTTTAATTTTAACTAAAGGGAAGGTTTTAAAGTGTTGTTTGATTTGAATTTTGAAGGTTTTAAAGTAAGTTAGTATTGCTGTAAATTTGATTGATTGGGTATTGATTGAGATGTTATTATTTGTCTTAGGAGAGGAGTTTATTGAAGGTGATTTCTAGTTAGTAAAGTGGCATACCAATTCGTTTGCTCAAGGTACGTACAAGTTACGAAACCTTTCTTTTAGGTGCATGTTTAAGGACGACGGATCGAGAACTTAGTATCATGTATAGGGATGACTGAGTTAAATTGTTTGGTTATACATTGTGAATTTCGTATGACGTGCACTATTTTATATTGCAAGTATTATTTGTGCTCTAATTATGCAAGGTGCGCTTAGAGGCAAAGGTATATGATTGGTGTAATGATTAATTTATTACTCATTCATGATTATGCAAGCAGGATGAGTAAAGGAAGAATTTAAGTCTTCTAAGACGAGGTTAAGGTTTTGGGGTGCCTTATGCACTCAAGGTGTTTATACACCGAGGTAGTAAAGGAATAAATAATAAATGTTGCTTGCCACTAATAAATCAAGAATTGAAATTGAAAAGTTGTTTTACTTGATTGAATTGATATTGGATTGATTGTATTGTTATGCATATGAGTCATCACCAAGTCTAAACCTGTCAATCACGTAAAGTGCAAGATGGATTCGCAATAAAACTCTGGATTGGTGCACTTCTGGAGTAATGACAATCAGGGGTTGGGGTACATGGGGTATTAGCCGTGTACTTTTCTCGAGGCCGTCTGATCTACGAGTCTCTTATTTCAAATATTTTTCAAAACTAGGAGTTAGGTGAGATCTCATACTAACTACGGTCACGGAGTCGCGCCCGTGGTCGTTGGATGTTTATTGATGTTTCCGAAAGAAGGCATGGGGTTTTTCTTTTATTGATGTTCCAAATGGAGCATGGGTTGGACAACCTTGTCTATTGCGTAATCCAATGAATAAAAATAATGATTTACCTATTATTAATTAATGGAGTCTTAGTAATATAAATAGCTGAGTCGTGTGTTGAGTCTATAATTTAATGATGCATGATGATTGATTATTAGTAGCATGTTATGGATTTCTTAATTTATTTTGCAGCTTGTATGTACTCAGCTTTGCTGATTGCGTGCTTTGTGTGTCTTTCTTTGGTCATGGCCTTCGCCTTTCAATGACCCTGTGACGATCCAATTTTTACACTTGTAATATTGGGGAGCAGAATTACCACAGGTTCTTACACATGCAGCATTCATCAGGGTTGTGGGATCTTGAGTAGAGAGTTGGTTGTTTGCATTTTATTTCTTTTGCAAGTTTGAATTTATTTTAATTTGATTTTATTCGACACAATTTCTTTTGGGTTTGAATTTATTTGAACACTGAAATTAATCACTTATTACTTTTATTGGGTTTTGAATAAGGGCCTTAATGGTTCCAAGTTGTATGACTTAATTTGGTTTCATTCGTTGGTTTTGAAACTTATTTATAATTGATTTAGTTTTTCCGCTGCTATTTTCTGATAAAGCCTTAACGTTTGAACACGTGGCGGTAGCATGCCAGTAATTCTCTTGAATATTGTTCAGGGTCCTCACAGGTTTAAAGAGAGAATTATTGGGGTGTTACATTGTATATCATCTAGACAATTACTGCTATTACATGTTATCCAACCAATCAATCATATCACACTGCACCTAGATACAAAAAGGTTCCATCCAAACTATTAATCATATCATTCAAACAATAAATGAAATCATATATCCAAAATCATTACTTCCTCCGTTTTTTTTTACTTGACCCACTTTGACTTTTACACTATTCACCACCTCTCTTTTGACCGTGTTTTGTGAATAATATGTAAGGAAAAACATATTAATGTTGGATCATTTTGAATTTGTCTCAATAAGTACTATCATAATATATAACTTACATATTTTTTAATTATAGAGAATTAAAGTTATTAAATTTTAAAGTTTTGCATTGACAACCGTGATAAAAGAAACAGATCAAGTAAAAAAGAACAAAGGAAGTATTAGATTAGAAAAATTCAAACTAGATTCATATATATTGTACACATAGTCTTGAATATATGATGCACATTTGGAGGTTGTCCTGTCTTAGGTCTCAACTTAAGTAACAAAATTATTATCTCAAATGACAATATAGTAATTTTGAACAACTTTTTTAATTTTATTTTTTAAAAGTTTTGAAAAATTAACCTCAACTTCATTTCCTTCCATCTTTTTCAACATTCTTCAACTTCCCTTATTCCTTTCTCATCACCAATCATCAATAGCAGACGAACCTAAACAACCACAACTACACATAATGTCTAACACTAACAACCTATGTTCACCGAACTCGGCTGAAATTCCGGAGTGTCCGTGTCGATACGACACGACGGCGGACACGAAATTCGTGTCAGATTCGGCTATTTGCACTCGGACACTTCCGAGAGAAGGAAAGGGGAAAAACCATAGTATAAAAACTCCGCATTTTCGGCAAATAGACAACTTAAACCCCCCAAAACAACTTGAATTCGTGAGTTGGTCGGAGTTTTGTGGTGGACTCCATTGTTGCCAGCGTGTAGCAACCACATGAATGCATGATAAAGAAATAGAGAGTGAAAGAAGAGAGCGAAAGATTGAGGAGTGAAGGCTGATAAAGTGATAAGAATGAGGTTTTGTGGTAAGTGGGAGTGTGGGACAGCTGTATTGATAAAGCAAAAGGGTAGACAACTGTGTGATGCTCTTTATTTGGGTTATATTTTTTATTTTTTAACCACTCAAGATCTTTTTTTACTTTTAATATTTTGATTTCATAGAAAGTTGTAGTTACTGACTAGTGACTATATTTATTAGTTTTTTAACTACTCAACCTCTTCACTTTTAACTTTTTTTACTTTTTTACTTATAATATTTTTTTTCACAAAATGAAAGTGTCGTGTACTCGCACCCGTGTCCAAATATAGGACAGAATCCCCGTGTCCTAAAATTTTGGAAATTAACGAATTGGGCACTCGGACACGTGTCTGCGTCCGACACACGTACGAGTCCATGTAAAATAGCTAACAACCACACAACATTCCCAACCTGACTCCACCATTTCCCCCAATTTCGCCACCAAATTTAACGAATACCTAAAAACAATACAAAATGAAGGGCATTGTTAACCCCTAAAAGGCAGGTGTTTGCCTTTTTCCATTAATTTCATCGGCCTCCATTGAAAAATTCTAGCTCCATAAAGGATTCAGACTTCATTGATAACGCCCGATTAACACCTTCCAAGCCAATTAATAACAATAAATAAAAGACGTTTGTATCCCTAACAAAGTGTGCAAAAAGACTAAATTACCCCTTTGAAAAACATTTCGAGTCCAAAAAATATCTAGGGCGGGCCGGCGGGGAGAATGAAAACACAAAATCGCAAAATTAAGAAAGAAAAGGAGCCTCGAACACACTCTCACACTAGTAGTCATTGTGCTTTCTTCTCCGCCATAACTACCGCCTCAACAAGCTCAAAAATGGCTTAAACCAAATTTCAACCTTTCGAACCTAAAACCCCATATTTTCTCTCTCCTCCTTTCACTTTCTCTCTCCTCAATTTTCATCTTCTTCCCTCAAAAACCCTAGAAAAACCCCCAATCTAGTTACATGACGAAAGTATATGGAACTGGGACCTACGATTTCAAACGCCATAGAGTGGCGGAATACCCAGTTGAAATTACCCATCAAATTGCTGTTGAAAAAACCCCTGATTCAATCCCAATTTCAAATGCCCCCAATTCAATTAGTCTTTCTGAAATTAATCGAGACCCTCTTACTAAAATTGCTGCTGATAATTGGATCAAATCTGGTGTAAATGATTCCAACCCCAGAAAACCCTTTGATGCTGAGCTTGTCAATGATATTTATCGCAAGGAGTTGCTCGTGAAATCGGGCCGAAAACCCGTGCCCTTGCAAAGGGTCATGATTTTGGAGATTAGTCAGTATTTGGAGAACTATCTTTGGCCTTATTTTGACTCTGAAACTGCTAGTTTTGAGCATGTTATGTCTATGATACTCATGATTAATGAGAAGGTTGGTTGGTTAGGTTGATTGAATTTTTCGTGTTTTTAAATTATTTTTGGGAATTTTAATGGGTGTTTTTTGTTGGATATTTTGCAGTTCAGAGAGAATGTAGCAGCTTGGGTGTGTTTTCATGACAGGAAAGATGTGTTCAAGGCATTCTTGGAGCGGGTTCTTCGGCTTAAGGATCAGGTTTGATTTTTGTTCTAATGTGTTGCTTTGATACTAGCATTGATTCTGCAATTGTTTAAGCTCATGTATGCTATTAAGGAACTGCTTGCAATGCAGCTCTAGTATTTACTGAGTATAGTTATAGCTTGTAAAAATACAAAGTATAACACGGATTGTATTCTTTGAGTTCTGTAAAATACAGGCGAGATTCGTTTATAAGCCTAACTATGGCAAATGAAAGACTATGATCTTTTATGGTGTGTTTTATTCAACTGAATTTGGCTGTGAAATGAACTTGCCAGAACTTATTGTAGCTGTGAACTGAACTTATTGGAACTTATATTAAATTTAGTCAAGTTGAATGGAACACACCCTTTGTGTAAACATATATTTCGTTTGTGGAGGTGGGTTGCGGGTTATTGGGAATATCATCTGGAAGATAATCATTACTTTATCAATCATCTCTAGGCCACTCGAAAGGAAAGAATTAAGAAAGCAAAGCAATTGGAAGCTGAAGTCCTGTTATATGTAGCTGTTTGGTGTACCAGTTATGTACACTTGTGGGTTGTTGGATTAGCATCTAGAAAACAATATCTACTTTAACAATCATCTCTGCCCCCCTTGAATAGGAATGAATTAAGAAAGGAAAACTTGGAAGTTGAAGTCCTGTTATATCACATATATGTAGCTGGTTGATTGGCATGTTGCATTATTATTTAATATCGTATGGAGTAAATTACTTTGCTTTAAAAATGTGAATGTTAGCACTCTCTCCATCAGCCATCTCCCCTTTCCGATGGTCACAAACTTACAAGCAGTCAATTTTTCATTTTTTTTCTCTTAGCATCCTTACTTGGAAAACAACTAATGTGTAAGAAACATATCTCATGGCAAATTCACTCATACAGTGAAAATTTGAAACAAAGAAACAAAGAGAAAGGGGGAAAAAAAAAGCATTACATTCATTCGATTAACATGAATCTAGTTTCCAAATTGTTATTCTTACAATAGTTTACAAATTGCGTAATAATATGCATCTTAACATATTATCCCTTTGCACCCATTTAACCAATTTACCCAAAACTCTTGTCCCTCAATAAAATTTAATTTCAGCTTTATTTGTTAATTTATTCACTTTTGATCAACCAAACCCCCACTATTTACTTTTTAAATTTACTTCTTATTAACCAAACTTTAGTATCTAATTTTTTTGAATCATCTTTAATCAACAAAACCCCAATATCTTATAATTTTATTGACTATTCTAAAATGTGGTGCAAAGGGCAAATGGGACTTTCATTTTGGGACAGAGGGAGTACAATATTTGTAATGTAATACACGATATTTATCTTATCATATACAATATATATACACAATATATAGATTGGATGGATGATTTTTCTCATTTTTCCCCTAAATATGTTAACTATATGTATAACATAGATACATTAGGCACTCCTCTTCTAACTTGTATTTTACTATATGTAATATTTGGTGCAGGGGGAACGCTTTACTATTGCGGAGAAGACCAACTACTTGGTTTTCATGATTAATGTCTTTCAGGTGTGCTAACATTTCACCTTATTGTTGCTTTTGGGAGTTGGCTTGTGTCAATTACTTATATCCATCATGTTAGCATGTAGAATTTTGAGTTGTCTTTGCCTCAGACAAAGTGCCAGGTTTATGTTTTATAAATAGCAATACTTTGTGCTAATTGGTGTGCTATATGAATCTCTTTTAAGTAGTTATGTTTTAAAACAGTTATTTATTTTTTAGTAGTATTTGTAGTGCTTCACACTGTTAAACCACGACACATGTGCTGAATTCTACCTTTTGTTTTGTCTTAAACATGATATCCTTGAAGTAGAGTTCAGAAAATGGGGAAAGGAAATAGTCTGTTATGAAAATGTTGCCAAGGAGAAGCTGTTATCTCACAAAAATATGTTCATGGAACTTGTATTTGCAGAGTTTGGAGGATGAAGTTGTCAGTGATACCGCTTTAAGATTGGCGAGTCTGCAATGCTGGCATAGCTTGTCATATGGCCGTTTTCAGGTAGAGTTAAAAGATTATATTGCTTCACACTATATATATATATATAATTTTGGTCTTCCCTATTTATTGATCATTTTGGTTTTACTGCTGATCAGATGGAGCTTTGTCTAAACCCTGATTTAATAAAGAAATGGAAAAAGATGACTAAGGCAGAAGCCAAGAAGGCTAAGAAGCGGGGAGAAAATTTTGATCCATCAAAATCTCTGGAAGCAACATTCTTGAGAAGTCTCATCGTGGAGTTCTTGGGGGTATGTACCTCTGAAGGATTCTATTTGTTTTTCTAGATTGCTAATATGTATGCTTGGAGGTTGATAGTTCTGTTCCTTTTGAGCATACTTATGAGAGTGTAAGTACTTACACATGTACACCTATGCAGGTATTGGATTCTGAGGTGTTTTTCTCCACGCAGCATGATGATTCAGAAAGAATTAGTACGAATGGTTTACAAGAAGTTGATGATGCTTGTGTCTTGTACTGTGAGAGGTTTATGGAGTTCCTTATTGATTTACTAAGCCAACTGCCAACAAGGAGGTATGGTTGTGCTTTGATAGGATTCCAATTTTATTTTATTCTTGCTTTGAATGGGCTTACCATGATAACATAAACTGTGTTCCGCTTTAGAGGGAAATTTGCGGGGAGGGTGGTGGGGTGACTGGTGAGGTCTTTAGTCTGAATTCTTTGGAGTGTATATCTTTATTCAACTGCAGTATGCCTGTACACTTAATGACTCCCTTTCCTGTTCAATATTGACTTCCTTTCCTGTTTAATAGTGACCTTTCTGGCTGCTGATGTTTCTCCTTCCAAAGTAAATCTGCAGATATGAAATGTTCCTTTTTTAAAGCTATAAATGCAATTCTTCTCTTCCTCTCTTTTCCACAAAACTGTAGATTTTGTCCAGCCATATTATTCAAAATATCTCTCTGCACTTGCAGATCTGAACGCATTGACTTATATCTTGCTTTCTCTGTGGCTTTAGTTACTGATATCTCACCTACTGGCAGTCCCCATATCACATGCACCAGGGATCTATTTTACATACATGCATGAAAATGATTTAGTTTTGTTTTCATAAGAGAATGATGTACACTCTATTTACCCTACTTTATAAAAAGTATGAAATTGCTCTTATAAATAGTGCACGGACCATTATACCCCTCAAAATGTTTGTTTACCTTCTTACCCACATGTGTAATTTTGTAATTTCTTAAGACTCATCAATAAATTAGAAATTAAATGGAGAATGGAATAATAAAGTTTAATATTTTCTATATTTAATTGGGGTGGGGGGGGGGGGGGTGGGGGTTTATGGTTTAATTATGCCTCTAATATGTATTGTGAAGCACCCTATACTGCTATATGTTGTCCATTGTTGTTTCCAATTAGGCCAATGAGCGCAAAAGATATATTAGTATCATAAATTCTCATATAAAGGGTTAGCACTTAGCACATTGTTTTTTTTATCACTACTTAAATAAGGGGTACAACCTATTGTATTAAATTTCCCATAATATCCTACAACATCAAAGACAAGAGCCCTCGGCAGCGGACGATTAACTCCATGTGAAGTGCAAACACAAGCCAAGGAAAATTAAGGCTAAGGAATGGAGAGATATTTCTTTATCAATCCATTAAGTCCATGTCAAGTGCAAACACAAGCCAAGAAAAACTAAGCCAAAAGGGCTAACCATCTTGCGCACAACACGCGCTTTGGCTACCCTAGTATATGTGAAATATTGGAACTATTTTATTTTGTAACGGTTTTGTTGGAACTACGTAGTTGTTTAATTAGTTTCCTTAACTTAAAAATTCATTTTTTCAGCATTTCCTACCTTTTGATTATATGCATTTCTCTTTTTTAATTTCATTTTTATTCTCATTTTATGTTTCATAATGTGTATTCTCATGAAAACTAGATGAATTCTCAGCGTTAGGATTCTAGAAAAAAAAAAAAAAAAAAAAGAACAGAAAGTAGGAAGCACAATAATTATTTTGACTCTTTAGGAGGGGGTTATACTTTGTACGTGAAGATGATACTGTCTATTTTAACTTGTGTTTATTGGTTGTATATGTCATATTTTATCTAGTTGTCATTATGTGTTTTGAATTTGTACAGAGTATTAGCTTCCTTACTGATATTTCCCCAATACTGATGTTAACGTAATCACATTATTGCTTTAAGTCATTTTCCTTATTTCATTTCTGTTGGCTATGCTAGATACTTGAGGCCTTTGGTGGCTGATGTTGCAGTTGTTGCCAAATGTCACTTGAGTGCACTTTATACTCATGTAAGAGGAAAGCTGTTTTCACAACTGGTTGACTTGTTACAATTCTATGAAACATTTGAGATCAATGATCACGAAGGGACTCAACTGACTGATGATGAGGTCGTTCAAGCACATTATGATCGCTTTCAATCCTTTCAATTGCTTGCTTTTAAGAAAGTTCCCAAGGTTTGTGGACTTCGATTGTGTTAATAAAGCTGTGAAGTGATTACAACTTGTCCTTTAAAATAGTAAGCTACTTGTTCATGTAACCTTATGTATGCTTTTTTGTTCCTCAGTTGCGGGAGCTGGCTTTAGCGAATGTTGGTGCAATACACAAGCGAGTTGATCTTTCTAAGAAACTTTCTGTTCTTTCGCCTAATGAGCTCAAAGACCTAGTGTGTTCTAAGGTTATTTTATGCTTTATTAAAGTAACATGTGTTGATTGGTTTCCAGACTGCGTCCCTTTGTGTACCTCTATGTAATATATTTGCTAATTTTTTCCTTCTCTTCTTTCCTTTTATGCACAGCTCAAACTCATTTCAAGCAATGATCCATGGTCAGACAGGGTTGATTTTCTAATTGAAATTATGGTATCCTTTTTTGAGAAACAAAAGTCTCAGAAGGAAGCCATAAATGCTCTTCCACTCTACCCAAATGAGCAAATTATGTGGGATGAAAGTCTTGTACCTAACATTAACTACTCTGGAGAAGGATGCCTGGCTCTCCCTAAACTTAATTTGCAGTTTTTGACCCTTCATGATTATTTATTGAGAAATTTTAATCTTTTCCGTCTGGAGTCTACATATGAAATCCGGGAGGATATTCAGGAAGCTGTGCCGCACCTTCTTGCCTATATCAATAATGAAGGGGAAACAGCTTTCCGTGGTTGGTCGAGAATGGCCGTACCCATTAGGGAATTCAGGATTAGTGAGGTGAAGCAGCCTAACATTGGGGAAGTAAAACCAGCAGCAGTTACTACAAAAGTTACTTACAGCATTTCCAGTTATAGATCACACATAAGATCTGAATGGGATGGATTAAAAGAGCATGATGTTTTATTTTTGCTTTCTATACGGCCTTCATTTGAGCCATTGAGCACAGAGGAAGCATCTAAGGCAACTGTTCCTCAACGACTTGGGCTTCATTGTGTACGTGGATGTGAAGTGATAGAGATCCGGGATGAGGAAGGAGGTCTGATGAATGATTTTACTGGAAAAATTAAACGTGACGAGTGGAAGCCTCCCAAGGGTGAATTGAGAACTGTAACTGTTGCACTAGACGCAGCACAGTACCACATGGATGTCACAGATATTGCAGAGAAAGGAGCTGAAGATGTGTATGGAACTTTTAACATTTTAATGCGGAGAAAACCTAAGGAAAATAATTTCAAGGCCATTTTAGAATCTATTAGAGATCTTATGAATGAAACGTGTATAGTTCCTGATTGGTTGCACAACATATTTTTGGGTTATGGGAATCCTTCAGCTGCTCAGTGGACTAACATGCCTGATCTTTTGGAGACTGTAGATTTTAAGGATACTTTTCTGGATGCAAATCATTTGAAGGACAGTTTTTCAAATTATCAGGTATGATATCTGCCATAGTTTAATGCTGTTTTCTTTGAATCAATCATACATTTCTGTTTTGGTCCCCCAGAACAATTAAGGTACTTAAAAATATTTTGCTTTCATTTCACCTTTTGGTTTCAGATTTCTTTCATTAATCCTGATGGTTCAGAGAACTTGCATCCGGAGCCTCCATTTCAAATTAAGCTTCCAAAGACGCTGAAAAGCAATGTTCAAGCTCTCCCTGGCAACAAATCTAATATAACAGCTTCCTGTGATGGTGATGTCAATGCAATTCAAGAAAGGCTCATTGTTGAGACATATATTCCTCCTGATCCAGGTCCATACCCCCAAGACAAGCTAAAACAGAACACAGTCAGATTTACCCCTACTCAGGTGCATACTTTAACATATGATATAATGACATGCGTTAAAGGATTCCTTCATGCTTTTGCAGCATTGCATTTTTTGTTGGGAATATTACTGTATTGCTGGTTTCTGAATCTAAAATCATCATTACACTTAACTTTAAATGAAAGCTTCTTTTAAAAAAATCAACATCTTTGTGTGACATTGAGAATTTTCTACTACACCTAAGATGTAGTAGACTATTAGTTGTGATCGATTTGTGCTATTTAATAAAAGAAATTCGTTGCTCTGATTTTCATGTGCCAATGGTAGCTGCCCTGGCATGGTCTCTTGCTTGTGCTCTTTTAATCTTTGATGTATGTGAGTTTAGGGTACTTTTGGGACCTTCTATTAAAACTTATCAAGGACGGTATTCTTTATTAGTTTTAATTCTTGGTTAACAACCCTGACTGCTGACTTTCTGATTCTACTAACTGCCTGTTGCATTATACTAGTTTATAATTTCCTGCAAATTATTTAAAATATGGGATTAAGGCTTTGATTGATTTAGAATGTGTTGGATTCAAACCCCCCCCCCCCCCCCCACACCCCCCCCTTCTCTCCCCCTCTATTTAATTCACTTATTCTTTCTCGTCTCTCTCTATTTCTTCACCTTCATAACTCAGATATTCAGCATAAAAGTTTACGTTGATATAGAAAAACCAACTAGAATAATCACCACCCTTCAAAGAACCCAAGATCATGAAATACAACATAAGTTGGGGGAAGTAGATGGCAGTACTTAATTTGCAAAAACTTCGACCATAATTTTTATTGGTTCATTTTATTTAATTAAATTTATTTTTTTTGCCTTTTGTCCTCCCTATACTTCTAGCATTCTGATGATTCATTATTGTGATAATATTTCATCCGTTAACTTTTTGTCACGTTTTGACTTTCAATTTTGCTGATGCACATCTTTGACCTTTAATATGTTTAATTGTCGATTAGTAAAAAAATTTATTTGATATTGTTAGTATATATATTGATATGAATCTAACAGGATTTTGCATGACTATATATTGATATCATTTTTTTTTTTTTTTTTTTTTTTTTTTTTGCTAACTCTAAACTCTTAAAACAAAATAAATATGTTGCAACTGATAGTACATACAGGAAGTAGCTGTTAGTCACTTGGGCAAGAAAAAGTCGTGCAAAGTCTTAACACAAGATGCTAGACATGTTGGAAAAAAAAAATATGATCTACTCTTTCTGTATTTATAGTGCATATAAGGCTATAAGCTAATGACCTCAAACTTATCCAATTAAATCCTTAGTAACTTAGTTTTGCTTCGAAGCAATTGACAACCATCATCTTAAGAAATGAAATATATGTCATCTAGATTACATTACCAACTGAAGAATTTGAATTAGAAGCACAGCATTAAGTTTACTTAAATAACAAATGCTCACAGCTAAAATTTTAATTACAAAATTTCATCCCAAAAATTTTCTATGATTGACAGCATTACAGTGAAACACCTGATTCAGAAATCAGATAATGCAAGTGTTGTCATCCATGAAAATCAAACATATACAAAGTACTAAAGAGTAAGAGCTTTTGATTTTATCAATGGGGCAGAGAATAGGAATTGAGAGCGCAAGCCTTATCTTTTGTGGAAGCGTTGTTTAAACTTTGAAGTAGTTATAGCTCAGAATACATGGATGGTAATTTGAATGTATATCCTTTTATGTTCACATATACTCCATGCACAAATCATTAAAATAATCAAGATTTGGGTCTGTATCTTCAAACTAAGTTTTATTTTTTATTTATTTTTGAATAAGATGGTGAATTGGTGACCAATATATACGCAATGCAGAGAGGGTTTCTCTGTGTGTTTTTTTTTTTTGGGGGGGGGGAGGATGAGAGTAGTGAATATAAATTTATTTTGTATATGAATCTTTTATAGATTTCTGTTATTTTAATGGTTAAGATAACGCGAGCTGAATCTTGAGTCCTTAACAGTGGGAAAGTTCTGGTCCCGTAGTTGACCCTTTACACTGGAATGGGTGTTACTTGGATAAGTTTCTGCCCTCCAGTATTCTAATTTTTGAAGGTGTCTATCTTCTGTTTGCTTGTGCCATTTTATTGATACGAAGTTTTTTGTTTCCTCATTTTATTAGTGTTATCCACCTATCCTTTTTATTTAGCTGCTAGACTTGAATCTGTCGCTTCAAAACTGCAGCTTCATCTTCATGATAAAGCACACCTTGGAACTGACTTATATATCATGTCTTGTAAGACAAAATATATAATTAATTTCTAATCCTCAATTTCTGTTTGTACCTTTCTTTGGCAGGTCGGGGCAATTATCTCTGGTGTTCAGCCAGGCTTGACTATGGTAGTAGGTCCACCTGGTACTGGAAAGACTGATACAGCTGTGCAGATCCTAAATGTTCTATATCACAATTGTCCTTCCCAGAGAACTTTAATTATAACACACTCCAATCAGGCTCTGAATGATCTTTTTGAAAAGATAATGGAGGTAGCTTTAGCTTGCTGGCTGTCATATGTTGTATAATATTTGGATGACTTGTTTACTTTTGCTTGCTTAATCCGCCGTTTAATTGCTTTTTTGTTGTTTTGGTTAGAGAGATGTGCCCGCTCGTTATCTTCTTCGATTAGGACAAGGTGAACAGGAATTAGCAACTGATCTGGACTTCAGTCGTCAAGGTCGTGTTAATGCAATGCTTGTGCGACGTTTGGAACTGCTTAATGAGGTGGAGAGGTTAGCGCGATCTCTTCAGCTTCCTGAAGATGTAGGCTATACTTGTGAAACAGCTGGGTACTTTTGGCTGCTTCATGTCTACTCACGTTGGGAACAATTTCTAGCTGCCTGTTCTGATAATAAAGATAAACCAACATTTGTTCAGGACCGTTTCCCATTTAAAGAGTTTTTTTCTGATGCCCCTCAGCCAATCTTTACTGGAAAGTCCTTTGATAAAGATATGCGGGCTGCCAAAGGATGTTTTCGCCATCTCAAAACCGTGTTTCAGGAGCTTGAAGAGTGTAGGGCATTTGAATTGCTGAAATCAACTGTGGATAGAGCTAACTACCTAATGACTAAGCAGGCAAAAATTGTTGCTATGACTTGCACACATGCAGCTCTCAAGAGAAAAGATTTCCTTCAGATTGGATTTAAATATGACAACCTATTGATGGAAGAAAGTGCACAAATCCTGGAAATTGAAACTTTTATTCCAATGTTGCTGCAGAGACAGGAAGATGGTTATGCACGTCTTAAACGTTGCATATTAATTGGTGATCATCACCAGCTGCCTCCAGTTGTAAAAAACATGGCCTTTCAGAAGTATAGCCACATGGATCAAAGTCTTTTTACTCGTTTTGTTCGTCTAGGCATTCCCTATATTGAGCTTAATGCTCAGGGTCGAGCACGACCAAGCATAGCCAAACTTTACAACTGGAGGTATAGAGAGCTGGGAGACCTTCCCTATGTAAAGGAAGAAACTATTTTTAATAGAGCAAATGCTGGGTTTTCTTATGATTATCAGTTAGTGGATGTGCCGGATTATAATGGCAAAGGTGAAAGTGCTCCTTCACCCTGGTTTTATCAGAATGAGGGAGAGGCTGAATACATTGTTAGCGTTTACATATACATGCGCCTGTTGGGTTATCCTGCAAATAAGATATCCATCTTAACTACTTATAACGGACAAAAATTCCTCATTCGTGATGTTATCAGTAGAAGATGTGTTCCATACGACATTATTGGCCCCCCAAACAAGGTAAGCCAATTCTCTAATGTCTTACTCATTGTTCAAAATAGAAAAAGTTAGTATTCTTATTGCATTAAATCACAAACAGCTATAATGGAAAGTATCCATCTTTCAAGCTAGGCTTAGTTTTCTGATTTGCATGAATACATCCCGTAGTCATAGTGGTATTTTATCACAGGTAATTCTTACTGTAAAGGCTGTTAAATGATGTTTAACTGATTAGTTATGCTACCTTTTGGCCTTTTATTATTCATAGATTATAGACATGTATATCACTAGATGTGATCTCTAAAAGACTTTTGCTTAGCTCTTGACTCTTAGTATTTTTATTTCTGTATGTTTACCCCCTTTCGACTTTAATTTCAGGTCACAACAGTGGATAAGTTTCAAGGTCAGCAGAATGATTTTATCTTACTGTCGCTGGTGCGTAGTCGATTTGTGGGTCACTTGCGCGATGTGAGAAGATTGGTTGTTGCAATGTCTCGTGCAAGACTCGGCCTCTATGTTTTCTGCCGCCGTTCATTGTTTGAGCAGTGCTATGAACTACAACCTACTTTTCAGCGTCTTCTACAGAGACCTGATCACCTTGCTTTAAACTTGACGGAGAACATGCCTTTCACAGATCGTCATGTTGAGGATACAGGTCCAGCCTATCTTGTCAGTGGTGTGGAAGAGATGGCTAATATTGTGAACTACAAAAGACATCAGGTTGACCAGGTGAGCTGACTTGTCTTGTATTTTTGTATAATTACAAAAGTTGATAGTTTCTAGCCTTAGAATTCACCTACTCCTTCCTTCCCAAGTTCCCAGTTGAAGTTTACCTAGTTTAATTTTGTGTCCCAGATTTTAAAGCAAGGAAAATATTGTTGGGCTGGGGAAAGTATAGTTGATTTTATTTTTTATTAATTGTTTTTAAGAGAAAATTAGGCAAGCCCTAATTTAAGATGGGGAGTATAGTATATTGAAAATCTGTTTTATATTTTGCTGGGTGACGAATTTTGGGTATTTTCTGACATGTATATGCTGATGTTGCAGGCAAGGATGATGATCCTTCAATATAATTCAGTTAATTTCGAACAAGGAGATCTGTCTATGGGTGAACCCACCCAGAATGGACAGGAAGACTTAACCTCAGTGAATGACATGAAGACAGAAGGATCTGTCTTGGAAAATGGTAAATCAGGGCAAGTCCTGTCTGTAAATAACTCTAAGGAAAGTACAGTTATGGAAGAAGATAAGATTGGTCAAAACGGAGATGTGCAAGTAGAGAATTCTGAGGCTCGTGTAACAGAAAATGCTGTAACAGATGGTGATGCTGATCTTGCTGCCTCCAATATGGAGGAGTAAGTTGATGGAAGTATCAAAAGGTGATGTTTTACATGGTTGATATGTTATGCAGCTAAATTTAGCCATGTTCAACCTTGTTTTAATCCTTCACTAGTCGGTATAGCCATGTCAACAAAAGAGGTTCAACAAAAGTGGCCAGTTAGCTCTTTGTTTTAAATGCCACGCATAATAGGGACTGCTGAACCCCTAATACATGATGATTTGAGCTGCTTATTGAGGAATCGAGTATATTTTATGATGCAACTATGTAAGCCTTCAGCTCTATGATTTCTTGTAAATGGATTTCTTCTTATGTAGCCGAGGTAGCGTGAAAATTACTGAGCAGGATATTCTGGAGGGTGCAATCCGGCAATGTCTCAATGAGCTAGGCAAAATGGCAATCATGGGATTGTTAATTTCAGCAGAGAAGTAGAATCGTTTTTGGAGGGGTTAGGAAAAGACAGTCTGTTTCATAGTGGCTTTAGCTGTAGATTAGATCAATTCAATTTTGTACTGTACTGTATACAGGTTGATGTAACCTTAAGTTTTACTGACCCTGAAGATCTTGATCAGTATAACGAGAAAAAAACAATTTTCTAATTATTATGTCCATGCCTTAAAAATTTTGCACATTCAAATATATAGGATTGCAATGCATAGATTGAGTAATAATCGTGTTAGCAGCTGTCACAATGTTCTGAATAGCTAACTCTAAAGAAAATCTTTATATGTATGTTTTACTTATTTTCCTTCTCACTATTATTGCTCTTATAAACAATTTTGTTACAGTGGGCAATTTCTAAAACTAGGCCTTGTTTGGTTGCACCAATTTCCACTCAGAATTCATAGGAAGTGCACTAAATGTAGGTTGTTTGGTTAAACAAAAAATTTGCAAAATGGAGGAAATTGAAATTCCTAGGAATTTCTATTCTTCACATAATATGGAAATTAATTTATTAATCTCCCTTGTAATTTTCTTAATGTCAACCAAATAAAGTCAATTTTCTAGGAATTAGATAAGGGAAATAATTTCCGATGAATTGTAACTTTTTCCGTTGCAAACAAACTATTCTTGACGCAGATGGAGAGAGCTACTTCACAGGTATAATACTCTCTCCGTTACATATTACTCGCAACAAAAGGGTATTATTTGTGAGACATAAAATATTCTTTTGTTCCAAGTAATATGTAACGGAGGGAATATATCAGTGAAGGAGGTGAGTAATAATATTTATGTTTTTTTTTTTTACTTTCCATTATTATATTATTTTTTTCTAATTTTTCGTTATTCTTTTATGGTAAATTACAACTCCTATCCTTTTCATCTCACCACATAATCCACATGTTATATACTTTGTAAAATCAATTTCTATACACAATTTACTATCCAAAAAAGTAAATAAGGGACTAACTTTTCACTAATTCCCTCCTTTTCTTGGTGTAGCAAGTAGGAAGAAAAAAAAAAAAAAAAAAAAAAAAGAACTAAACGAGTTTCATTTATGATACCATTTTTTTTAGGAATTACTCGTGAATGAAGAAAGTTTTACCGGAAGATCTTGATCATTATAACGAGAAAAGTCCTTGATCACAAAACGGTTATAACGAGAAAAGATCTTGATCACAACACGAAGTCATAGTAGTGCACAATTGATTAAAAAAAAAACTTAAGTGATGTAAAAAGTCAAAACTTGTCTAACGAAAAAGAATAAGTATCAAACTAATATCCCCACTCCCACTATCTTTAGGGCCTGTTCCGATTGACTGAACTCAGCTGAACTGAACCGAACTGAACTGAACTGAACCGAGCTGAACTGAACTGAACTAAACTTATTAATTAGTGATTTTTAACTACGGATTAGTGATCTTTGATTATTTATTGATATTTATTGCTATACATATGTGTATATACAAATGTACATATTAAAATATTTACGAAAAATATACTATATAATTATAATTATAAAATGTATGGAAAATATATTAAAAACTTGAAACCGCTAAACATTTTAAATACATATACTATTTAATTTAAAAATAAAATAGTATTAGGACAAAAGAACACAAAACATTTACATGTATCTAACCCATTTAAACAAATTTTAAATAAAATATTATATATATATATATATATATATATATATATATAAAACCAACAAGAAAAGCTGAAATTAGCTAAAATTAGTTTAAGTTGTGTAGTATTCTAATTTTCTCAATGAGATTAACATTAGAAATATGTTTCAAAAAAATAGAACCATTTGAACAATGAATTGTATCAATATTATTATTGTTATTATTATTATTATTAATTATTGATAATTATTATTAATTATTGATAATTATTATTATTAGTTATTGATTATTATTATTATTATTATTATTATTGTTATTGTTATTATTATTATTATTATTATTATTATTATTTATTGATGATTATTATTATTATTTATTGATTATTATTATTATTAGTATTATTATTATTATTTCAATTATTATTGTTATTATTATTATTATTATTATTATTATTATTATTGTTTTGTCGTTGTAACAAGAGGTTAAAAGAATGAAATTTGGCTTTATATCATTAGCAATATCATTCGACATAAATTAAGAGTTGAGCTGAGCTGAACTGAGCTGAGCTGAACTGAACTGAATTGAATTTCAACGGAACAGAACAGGCCCTTACTATGCTTTTCAATTCCACAATAAACCCCAATTACACAATGTTTGTACACCGTTCTATACTTGAAAGTATAGAGGAATTTTGTTTCAAAAAAAAAAAAGTGTAGAGGAGTTTTTAATAAATTGACATCCTACAAATATAAAATGAGATTAACGCAATGTAAATTAAAATTTAATACTTAAAATACGATGATGGCAAATTATTGAGTATAAATAAGTTTACTTGTCAAACAAAAGAAAAAAAAAAGGCTGAGACTCAAATCGTTGCAAATAATTTAAACCGGATGTAGCAGCATATATGAATGACGATAGTAAGTATGAGAGGCCATCTCAACATTACCTAGACCACGTTGTACATTATAGCATATGTGAACGCAAATTAGCAAATATAAATACCAAAGAAAGCAGTAGATTACTCATGGTCAATCTGACAGAGATTTTACCTATTTTTATAGCATGATCAAATTAATGTTCCATAGTGTCAAAATTGATTACAAATTACAACATAAAGTTGCATTCATCTACCCATGGGAAGTGTGAGGCATCGCAAGGAAAAATTACAGGTATTTTCCTGTTAAAGAAGAAAAGAAATGACAACAGCCAACATCAGATCTAAGGTCAATCAATGCAATCAATCGCCAAGGAACTTTCTCTTCTTCGTAGTATTCATGTACGGCCTAAGTACCCATTCATTCTGGGCTTCTTTTTGCTCCACTGTCCCTAGCTTAATCTGCATTTGGGGAGAGTAAGAAATTAATTAGCAGACAGAAACATTGTCCTAGCATAATCTTTTCATGAGAAGAGTTAAGTGTATAAGATTAGCTTTAGAGTTCCTCAGAAGCAGGGTAGTTCATTGGTAAATCCATTCCATAGGACATGCCTTTAATGACTATGGATACAAATTATGAACTTATTACTTCAGTATTCCAGACTAGAAATTTGTAATAATTTCATTGATATAATAAAGGGGCAAGGAATATTACATTGCTTGCTAAATGGGGAAAGTAATAAGAAAAATAAGACAAATAACAAGAAATGGAGTAGCAGCTTCAATACTGATAATATTGAAAAACCCTTGATTCTGCACTTGATAAAAAAAGTTAAAAGAAAGATTACACAAGTATTCATAACTTCCCAATCAGTCATCAATTTCATGTAAAATAATTATAAAATAATGGGGAAGCCATTTTTCTCCAAAGAATAATCAGGAAAAATTTGCATGTAGCAGTTGCTTTTTATTATATTATATATGAACAAAAGAGAGACTGAAATTACAGTGGAGCTTGTCACTTTGTCAGGAAGGCATCGATGAGACAAGCATATATATGACTATGCCTCTATGACCAAGTGCAATTAAGGCATGATATCATTCACAAAATTATAATAAAAACTGGCATCACCAAGTTCACCTGGTATAATCGTAGCTCAAACCGAGGACCGATCTCCTTAAGTTCAATTGATTTTGGACCCCCTTGTTTGTCATAAACATGGTGTCTGCAATATAATTGAGAACAATTAGCAAAGTACAAAAAAAGTAAAAATTTAATGAGACAGGCCAAGTTGAAGGTAGATATGAGATATCATTATCATGGTACTTGTTCTCTTTTCTTATATCTTTTTTCTTCGTTTTGTGTGTGTGTGTGATTGTTGGTGTTCTAGGTTACTTCCCTAGAACATGTCTCATTACTAAGCCTCAAAAAAAAAAAAAAAAAAAAAAAACAATACTCTCCTAGTCTCCTTAGTCATTAAGTAGGATTGTAGGAGTGATAAAATTAGGGATAACTGTAAGATGGATCAGTGGATGATCTGGCGATAGTGGCCAGGTAGCTCATAAGCATCAAAGTTTAGTCTTTGGCTGTAATATCTTAAATCCAGGTCTACTACTTGGAACACAAATTGTTCTGCTAGGGCATGCAGCAATAATGAAGCACAACACTACAGCTTGAGCAGAGTTATGCTGCTGCTCCATTAGATCTCTACATTTCCTGCTCTGAATGGCTAGTGTAAGGCTGTATTCTCTTCACCTTATTTTTGCTGAACTCCCTGATTATTTTTAATGAACAGAATATATTTTTACTGAACAGAAATTAATTTTACTTAAAACAAATTCAGGTATATGCAATACAATGAAGTGAAATTATCATTCATACATAGAATTTCCACTTTTGGCATAGCTTTCCTCCCATCTTTTCCTGCTTTGAAATATAGGATAGAATAAAAGAGCACTAATCTAGATGGTCCAATCCTAGTTACCTAAGTCTTAATAGTGATTTTAAAAAACATAACTCAAACAAAGAATGGAAACATGGATGAAGACAAGGAACGACTGAAAAATCAAGAAACTTGAAGGCTATGCTTGGTTTGACGTAAAACATATTCAATAAATAAAGATTTTCCATGGAAAATATTGCTGCTAGGGAAGACACAACTACAAACTAGATTTTATTTGTTGGTTCCTCACAAGAAAAAGTTATTATTGAGAAAAGGAAATTGGAATTAGAGGGGGAAATATAGATGGGAGAAATACATAATATGGCAATTTTTTTCTTACAAAAGGAAAAAGTTTTCCACTCTTGGAGAGCTGTTTTCCACCCTTGAGAAACATTTTCTCCGCCCCTTGATAAACTAAACAAGTTCGTATAATATATCTTTTGTCAAACAAAACACAGCTGAAATGTAAAGGCAAGAAAATGTATTCATTTCAGCGAGGATGTTGGGAGGTCAAGGTGTGATTTGAGGGTTCATAAATACAAAGGTATTCCATCAATGACTAGATTAAGATACCACAACATAAAAATTATCTTTAAGCACTTTTGATCTAACCTGAATGAGATATAATCAGACTGGTTTGCAAAAGTAATAATTCGCTTAGAATCTGGCTTTGGTACCGGAAACAGATGCTTCAGGATGGTTGCTGTACGATCCCCTAGCTAGAAAATAGTAAATACAACAACAAAAATATGATCAGCTTGTACGCTTGACAGTTAAATCATGATATACAGCGGTAATTTATTAAAGAAATAGAATCCCACTATCAGCTATGTGACTGAAATAAATAAACCCATAGTTGAGTGATATACATAAGCCACATCAATGAGGTTTGATTCTGACTAATTTACAAAAAAGACACTTCAATAGAGTAAAATTGATGGATCTCTGAACCACATTGCAAATACTCAACACACAATCTTCAGCTTTAGTATTCATTAGCTGCAGATAAATCCAAGAGTCAGCCCTGAGAAATCAAGCAGAATTAAAGTTTCGCTCTATGCAAAATGTGTCACGGGAAGATCTATTATCTAAAAAGTGCACAATATAGCCTATGTCCTCTAGTAAAGGAGCTTCATCAAAATCACAGCACTTATGAGTTATGTCATCGTAGATTTTAGGGGGGAAAAAAAAAAAAAAAAAAAAAAAAAAAGAGGTCTGAGGCCTACTAGCAATCAAATTAGTAAAGTGGAGTTTAAAGCAGTAAAGCCCTTCTGAATGTTCAGGTACCTTCTCCAACTAGTAATGAAGATGAATGAACTAAATGGGAAATCTGGAATATACATGTACTTTTAATGACAATTATTCTACATTTCTACTAGATTACAAACCCATCCTGAAGTTAACATGATTGACTACTGCAGTAGATAAATTTAGAGGAACATACTTATTAGACATGATAGTCAATATACAATACTTGCAAAGTCCTCAGTAAACTGTACTTGCAAAATGGCCCAAAGAGAGTCAATAATTTTTTAATACAGGAAACAAGCAGAGCTGCATAATGTTACATGTGGACATCATGCGAGCAAAATCTAGAAATACATTACTTAAAAAACAAAAAAGGGGGAATGGATCTCAGTCCAGACAGTCAATCCTTGGGGTGAGTTTGAAGAAGTTTAAAACTATAACAAGACATCTTATAGTCTCTGTTATGAAGAATCCACCAAAGATAAAGCCAGAAATTTAAGAATTATGTCATACCTTGGTGGTGAAATTATTAAGAATAAGATGTGGATTAGCCCCTGGCATTGTTCCAATTGAATTCTTGTCTTTGATGTCATGTCTGGTAACCTGCAGGTGATATGATAAGGATCTTCCTTCCATGCCACAGGTGTAAAACTGTGTAAGGGCCTCAAGTACAAAATTAAAAGCGGAATACTTACCACATTGTGTAATCCAAAATATGCAGTAGGACCAAAAGGCAAATGACAAACAATTAACCCATCAGGCACACCACGGTGCTCATGCACCAATATAAGATCTGTAAACTCTCGTGCACGGCAAGATTCAATTATCTCATTTATAATCTGCAGCCATAATAATAAAGCAAAGGCTAACGTAAACAAAAAAATTACAAACAAAACCTTGAATAAATCCTAAGATACCATTCCCAAACAATAGTTGTCAACTAATGCACTCAGAAGCAAAGCAATGAAAGAACAAAATAGAAAATAGACAGAAGCAGGACAAGTAAATTACATTTCCAATATCTTCATTAATCAAGAGAAAGCCACTTGCTACTCACAGTTTTTCTTCATATTTATAGGTCCCAAAAATATGTAGTATAAAGCTTGAACCTAGAATTAGCTAATACTCTGTACATTGTATTCAGATCATAAGAGTGACAAGAAACTCAATTTGTTTGTGCAACTTAAGATGTTTTGTCTTCTTTACATATTTACGACCATAGACGTGTCCTTTCTTCTTTTTTCCCTCAATTGGGAGGGTAAGGGGGGAGTAAGGCTTCACAATTAGATTTCACATAGTCCAGTCTTCACACATCCAAGATTGGACATATTTAGGGCACGTACATGCTAAATGCAAAGGTCTATGACTTCCTATCATATGTATCTATAGTTCAAACATTTTCAAGTATATGCAATACGTTGCTCCATCAAATCTTGATACATATACAGCTGACAGAAACAAAGGTAACACAAACAAACAATTGATGGCACATAGCTGCAGAATAACAAATTCCTACTATATATCTCAATTCTAGATCATAAGTTGTCAATAACAAACCTGGCCACCTCTATTCATACGTTCTGCATTAGGAAAGACAAACTTCAGCTCCTACAAAAAAGCATTCCCTATATCAGTGATACTCTGAATTCTAAAACCAAAAGCAACGTTTATTCGTCAGAAGCAAAAGATGATCACTGAAACTTGGACAAACCTTTGTAAACTGGGTAAGGGGTTGACTAGGATCCCTTGATGTAGTTAAGAGAATCTTCGGTTCTCGTTCAGTTGCCTTGGCATATTCATCATCAATAAGTGACCTAGGAACTGTGCAATGATGGGAATGAAATAACAAAATACTCCATATAAAGGTATAAATCAGCAATAATCCTAACAGACCAATATTTTTCCCAGGGGCAAGTGGATAATAAACTACAAGCCTATAAATATCAACAGTCTGCATCTTGAACGTGTTATTAGCTACAACTTACCTGAGCTATGAAATTATAAAATCTACAACCTTTAAAGCCCATCCTTTAACAATGCTAGCCATACGGTGTAAAATACAAAATTTTCATTTCACATAAGGCACCCATGTTTATCCTTGCATATGGCTGATATGGGGGCATGAAATTACACTTAAAATAGAAAAGCACATAATTATGTAAAATGTTGTCAGGATTGACGATCAGACACACACTGAATTTTATACTCGTAACAAAGCCGTGCATAATAGGTTACAATGCATGTTTTGCACTTAACCAAAGGGAAGTATAAAGCAACTGAACATCATTTTATAAAATGCAGATTTTTTTCACATTACCTTTCTCAACAACTTCCTAAGAAGTTCATCTTCTAGCTAAAAATAACTAAGCAGCTACAACACCCGAATCCCATTAAAACAACGCCTTAAACGAAAAACCAACATAAGTACATAACAATAAGGTTACAGGCTTACAACTCCTCTCAGTTGAATTCAAAGTAAACACAAACCCCATAACACCCAAAAAGCCAACAAATTTTAGATGAAAAGGCATAAGCAAACAAGTAGCATAATTTAATTTCAAATGTCTTTCGATATGTATAAAATCAAATAATCTCTTAATAAATTCTGATAAAATCAAAACAAATTGATCAATGAAAAGATGGAAAAGGAATATACCTGCAGTGTAATCGTCTTCGAGGTCGATTTCTTGGCGAAGGGCAGCTTCTTCATTCCTCAATTCCGTTGGAATTGGCTTCCCATCTGTCACAAAATCACCCATAATAACCCATTCAATCAATTACACCCAGAAATGAATAAGAAAATAAAAACCCAGAAATTAAAAAGAGAATTAAACCCAGAAAAACAACAAAAATCAAACCTTCAAGAGCTTCTCTGATTTTGCGTTTCTTCTCATACAACAAACGCTCTTTGCCTTCTAAGCTTTTTCGGTAGAGATACTCTCTCCTCAATCGAATGTTCCTTCTCAACATTTTTCTGAATTGGAATCCCTAATTTGGAATTGGGGAATTGATAAGCGTCGTTGAAGAGAGAGAAAGAAAGGCGAGTGTAATGGAAGAGGGTTTAGGGTTTAGGCAGTTCAGCAGTCTGCAATTTGTGACTGTGTTCGCCTAGCAGGAAGGAGGCCTGGTGGTTAGAGGTGTCAAAACCGAACCAACCCGAAAAAAATTATCCGTTTCGAACTGTAACCGATCCGATTTGATCCGAGAAATTCAAGGCCCAAACCCGATCTGTAACCGAAATGAACTCAACCCAAATCCGAACTTGACCTGATCTGAACTTCACCCGACACCGATTTGATCCGACCTGAACTCAACCCGAATCCGATTTGACCCGACCTGAACTCAAACCGAACCGATTTGACCCGACCCGAGCTCAACCCGATCCGAAATTGACCCGAAAAATAATTGATCTAATCCGATCTGTTTTGACCCGAATTGATATTAACCCGATCCAATTTTAACTCAATTTTATTTTTACCCGATCTGAATTTAACCCGATCATAATTAATTATTTACTTTTTTTATTCAAAATCTTATACTATATATTTACTAATTATTAATAAGTTAACTTTTTTACTACAAAGAAATAATCTAGAGATTTTGAGTTATTAATTATTTATTTTTTTATTCATATTCTAGACTGATATTTGGCTTAATAATGTTGAGTGTTATTTAATAGGTGTTTGTTGAAAAGATTTAGAGATTTTAGTGCATTTTTTAATTTAGTTTTGATGTTTGGCCAAGTAATGCCGAGTCTTATTTACTAGAGTTTTTTTTTTTTTTTTTTTTTTTTTTTTTTTTTTTTTTTTTTACGATATTTTTGATTCCATGCAAGGTGTTTGTTGAAAATTTAGTGCATCTTTTTATTTAGTTTCTGGACTGATGTTGTCTTATATATTAGGGTTTCCATTTCTGTTTTGTGTTTCTTTGTAATATTATTAATTGCATGCAAAGTGTTTGTCGAAATGATTTAGAGATTTTAGTTCAAATTTTTCTCTAGTTTATGGACTGATATTACTAGGTGTTTTGCAGATTGTCGGATGTCAACAAAAAAATCAAAGAAAATCTATAATACCAATATTGATGAAGGTAAAATAGTTAGACATTTTGATCCTAACAATATTACTGATTCTGATAAGATTTTTTTTCTTTATTCAAAGGAAATTAAAAGAGAATATTTTATTAAAAAAAAATGAGTTCAAATGATTTGGTGGGTAAGACAAAAGTGTTGGAAGGATGAGGGCAAGAAAAAAGTAGGTGATTTAGATTGTGGCAAACGGAATCACATGAGGATTACTTGCTTTTTAATCGCTCACATCAGTGAGCGATGTTGGTATATCAATTAAGTTTTTGATATATAAAATGAGTGTTTAATTGGTTATTTTGTGGGTAAGTTATGACATATTTGTCAAAATAATAACGCTCAAACCTCAATTTTTAATTAGAAAAATGATATAAGGAGTTATTTTATGGAATAAGTGATTGATAATACTTCAAATGCGCAACTCAAATATGTATCTTATCTCATCAAACATGTCAATAGTTCACCTTATAACAGGTAAACAACCATGTATATAAAATTTTGTAATAAGAATAATAACACGCTTTATTTGTCAATCCTTATAACAATAATAAGTTTGAATAATCCTTAAAACATTTAATAAACTACCTCTATTTCATATTATGTGCAAAATTTATCAAAAATGGTTGTTACACATTCTGTGCAACAAATATATTCATTCCTTTTTAAATTTCCATTCGTCTCTCTAATTATCACACGCACCAATGCACCATTATCTTTCCCCAATCTCCTGAAATCCAGAGGGGAGCTCTAACCGCTTGAGCTATCTCTCACTCTCGTTGTGTGTGGCTCTTTGTGTATTTGGTTTCTTGTTGTTTTTGTATATGTCAAACTCCTTTATATATATAGTGGTGCATAAGTAGTAGATAAAGTCGGCAAAAACCTTCAAGATTATTCTTGAACCTTTAATACTAGAATCATCTACTACCTCCGATTGTAATATATGCAATTTTGGGTATTATTTGTGAGATATAAAAAATTTCAAAGTTGCATATGATCGTATTAGCTTCTTTCCTTGAGTTGACCGACATTACTTGAGTAATGTGTATTATTCTAGAAGATTATGCTTCGTCTAGAATAATCAAGATCAAGACTTCAAACCAAAAGTTATAATATGCATGCACCGACATTGTAGAGGATTGGACCATAAAATTTGGGCCACAATTACCCAACAGACATACCAAGTGTAAATTTTCTTACATTTTAAAAAAAAAAACAAACAAAAAAAAAAGAAGGATTCTTGTCAAGCTTCGTCAACAAGTATGTTAAGTCCAATATTACGCCAAAGCACATCTCTCACAAATAAGCATAAGCTCATCGTTTTCTTTCATCATTTCCTTAAAAATAAGGCATAATTTTTCAGGGTAAGATAATCCATAACACGACCATCACAAATGCAAAACAAAATCAAAATAGCTCTTAAACAAAGTCCTAATGAATATAAATTGCCTTGATAGTCTGATAGAGTAATAACATGCCTAAACATGGAGGCAATGAATCTGTTGACCTTATGTTTTGATGATGACCAAGGAACCAAAGCAAACCCATATAAGTTTAACTTTCGTTTTTAGCTTTGATTAATGACAAGTTTATGCTATGAAATTCTGGAGTAAGAAGGGAGCATGACACAAGGTCTAATTCAGCTATGTGAGGATAAAGAAATCAATCATAAGTCGTGTTCCTTTAGTGAGGAACTGAAGCTACAAAGTTGAAGCTTCGAAGGCAAGTTCCTTGAGTGAGGAACTGAAGCTTCAGCAGAGTTCAAGGAGTCTAATGTATTTTATCTTTATTTTAGGCTTCTTGTATTCATGATAATACAATGATAATTTAGGATTTAAGTGGATTTAAATTTATTTATGATAAAGATTTTATTTTTCATATTTTAACTTGTTAATTTTCGAAAATATCTTTTAAGTTAAAATATCTTTTGTGAAAAGATTTTCTGTTTTGATTTTATCCTATTCTTTGAAAAATCTGTTTTGGAAAAATATTATCTTAAACGTGTGTTTTACTTTGTCAAAATAAGTTGAGATAATTTAGGAAGCAGTAAAACCACTTCCCAGTATTTTGTTTTACTTGCTACCCAAGATCCCACTCCTTGCGCTTCCTAGTTTTAAGGAAGTTGTGGTTGAGTGGTGATTGAGGCAACGATTATTTTAACTTCCTAATTTTTCTATAAATAGCTTCGGTTTTCTGTTGAGAAAAATATACTTGAGCATTACGGTCTTTTAGCTTTCAAAAGTGTCATAATCCACTTAAGTCCTTGAGTGTCTTTGTACTTAGCAATTTAAAGTTTAATCTTGAGTTGTATTGGGATAAAGTTTGGGAAAACTCTAAGAGTGTTTTATTGCTTTGAGTGAAGCAAGGAGAAAGAGAGAGTTAGCGAGATCAACTGATTGAGGGATCAGTTGAAAGGAGCTTGAGTTCGTTGAGGAACTTAGGTTTAGAGTCTTAATTTGCCTATTATTATTAAGAGTTGAGTTTAAAATCCCTTGTGATCGTGGTTTTTCTTCTTGATTAGGGCCAAAAAGTTTTCCACGTAAAATCTCTCTTTGCACTTTTAGTTTTTGTTTGAGTTCCTTTATAAATTCTGCAAAAATTACCCTAGTTCCTCTACAATACAATTCACCCCTCCTCTTGTATTGTTCATTCGAGTCAACATAATCATACAACACACAACTGAAATCCAAACTAAACATGTTAATTACAGTCTAACTAAATAACAACAGGACACCCAAAAGGTCCCAAAACACCATCTATTTCAAAGACTAAACTAAGCCAAATACCCATAACCCACGCTTAAGAGCAATGGTAAATCATGTGAATCCTAAGAAAAAATTATACGGAGCATAACCATACTTGAGCAATCCCAATATAAGACTAAATACGGACTATACAATAGCCAAGTGACATAAAACTGTGATGTGGTCATCGGGTCATTATGATTTCCTTAAGGGTTTGGAACAGGACAAATATCTTTGATGGCCATGAAAGGCTAATGAGAACAAGGAGCCTACATAGTAATGGGTACAGAACCATATCAGGGAAGATATTTATAAATATCAGAGGAGACAAAGTCACAAAGCATATAATTTTTGCATAGAGTTGATGAGTGCTAACATCAGATTCTTGATCCTGCAGAAAGGTCATTTGAAGGGTGATTAAGTTGTTTGCTTCTACTCTCACTTTGATCTCCTCATCTCATTTCAATAACGAGAAACTGTTCGGTTATAAAATATATACACAAATATATAAGTCTAGTTGGCATGTGAAAGAGGTGCAAATGAACAAGCCCTTCTGATATGATCCTCACATAAGTCACATTCATGACCGAAATCAACAGTCCAATACTTCATAGTATATCCACCAGTTGCATCATGCAAGCCCCCCTCATTTAACAAAAGAAAGTACCAAACATCAATTTCCCACATTAATTTTCTAGTTTCCCAAGAATCACAGTTTCAAAACAAGCATATGTCAGATTAACCGATGCCATATTAGTTTGTATACCACTATACCCTCTTTAAATTTTGGTTTAATGACAGCTTAAAGTTTTCCTAACACACCTAGGTGCTGCCGTATTCAACATAGCAACCATTGCCTAATTTCAATAGACCTCGAAAGCAAAAGAACTCGAATCACTGGCTTCTTTTCTCTATATCTGTAATCCTCCTTCAACTAATCAACTAAATGGATGTCAGGGTCCATTCATATGGGATCCAAAAGAAGAATTTACACTTCTATTTCATTTCATAGCCCCTTGAAACTCACTATCAAATTCACCACAACAGCAAATTTTCCTATTCATAAGTAGTCTTTCAATCGGTAATGTTTCATTGTCTAATGTCTATTCATCAAAACATAAGAGCAGTAAAATAATACAAACACACCAAAATGTCAGAAATTTTTCAATAAAAATTACATTGCCCTAAAACCCCAAGATCCCAACATAAAAACCCTGCAAGTCTGTAACAAAAATCAATATAAGGTTAAACAAAAACAAGGCCTTTAATCAAAATCATCACACATTCACACTACAGATGAAATAGCAAAATAACTAAGAGCACCTTCATCAGAATTCTTTCATAGCAGAAGGATATTCACTAAAGAAGGTAATATCATACAAACCCAAAATTAAGCAAGAACACCCCTTTAACCTTCAATTCTTTCATACCAGATGGATATTCAGAACCCCCATAAAAAATTAAATCAAAATGTAATAATTCATCATAAATAATAAGCACCAATTAGCAAAGTAAGCAGGTCCAATTTTATTATTATACCATTGAAAAAGGCTAAATCACATAGAAGTAATATCTGAATATTAAGCCCAAAATATAATTAAAAAAAACCATCAACCCCTTAGTTCTTTCATACTTTTAGTCAAACTAAAATATCAAATCAAACCCATAAATTATTAAATTATACCAAAACAAGAACCCTAAAACCCCAACAAAACCCAAAAATTACTAAAACCAAAGAAACAAAATCTAATAAGAATTGGGGGCAGCAGGAGGAGGGGTGCCAAGAAGGCTAGCCTGCTGAAGCTCCAAAGCATCCAACTGAGCATCGCGCTCGAGCTCGATGATGAGAGGAAGAGCGAGGACAAGGAGTGTTGTGCCAACTATCCAAGCAGCTTTACCAGTGCTCTTAAGCAGCTTCTTTGTACTGTTTGCTGCATTGCTAGCAGTTTGCTGGGTTTTTTGGTAGATGGGTGAGTTTGTAACTGTTGTTGTAACTCTGCTTAATATCCCTCCATTGTTGTTGTCATTGCTTGATCCTATTCGTTTTCTTCCGATGTTTTTTGATGCCATTGATTGATTGATTGATTGATGAATTTAGGACTTTATTTTTGTGATTGTTTTTCTGGTGTAGAAGAAGAAAGAAAAGACAGAAGAGAAAGGTAATAAAGGAAGAAGAGAAGAAGGGTTTTTGTTGGGGTTTGGGGTTTAGGGATTTGTTATAGAATCATATGATGTACAAGAATTTGAGTCTGTCTAGACTTGCAACTGTGCTAGGACTTTTTACCTGTGCACAAGGGCTGTTTAGTCTTTTCATACAAAAATTAACTTCTTTTTGATAATATATACTTCCCCCGTTTTTTTTACTTAATCCGCTCTGACTTTTACACTATTCACCACTCCTCCTTTGACCGTCTTTTGTGAATAATTTGTAAGGAAAAATATGTTCATGTTGGATATATTGAATTCGTCTTAAGAAATACTATCATAATATATAACTTTTATAATTTTTACTTATGGAGAATTAAAGTTATTAATCGTTGAAGTTTTGCATTGGCAAGCGTAATAAAAGAAACAGGTCAAGTAAAAAATAACATAGGAAGTACTTCTTCTGTTTTTTTAGGTGACACCTTCTATTATCAATCCACACATGTTTTTAACGATTAACTAGTTTTTGGGTCTGGGCGATGCCCTGGGTTATTACATAGGGTTGATCGTTAATATACATTGTAATTTATAACTCAATTTTCTTGTGATAAATTTGTTGTTCATATTGAATTGTCATTTGTTACATATTAATATTTTGTATTCAAAATAATACATAAAAAATAACTTAGTTTGGTGATAAAACACTTAATTTTAGATTTAGAGGTTGTGTGTTCAAATAAATCTTGTGGAGAGGGTTTTTTTTTTTTTTTTAATTATAAGTGCATGACGTGGCGTAATGATTAGTTGAGTAGGTGACGTGGCGTAGTGAGGGTGGTTTACGTAACATGTGGACATTCTTAGGAATGCCTTGTGCATGACGTGGCGTAATGATTAGTTGAGTAGGTGACGTGGCGTAGTGAGGGTAGTTTACGTTACATGTGGACGTTCTTAGGAATGCCTTGTGCATGACGTGGCGTAATGATTAGTTGAGTAGGTGACGTGGTGTAATGAGGGGAGTCTACGTGACACGTGGACGTTTTTATAAACGCCTTTTAATAGACTAGTTTTGTGCCCGTGCGATACCCGGGTTGTTTATTGAATTTTAAGATAAATTTTTAATCTATATGTCAAATTTTAAAACATATCATTGATACAAAATTAGTTAGGAATTGATGTGTTTTTGTGATGATTTAAACTATATAATAGGCATGTAATGACTAATAATAATAACATTGGTGAAAAACATTTTTTGACCCGTAACCTGAAATAACGACCCTGTCCGAAATGACTCGTGACCCGACCCGATTGACAAGTCTACACATAGTAATAAAATTATATTAGATTGTAAAGTATATTGTTTTAATTGATTAGAATATATTATAAATAATGGATGTGGTGCATTTTGAGCTATCTTTTGCTCCAAAAAAATACTATGATACAAAAAATAAATTTATATGATAATTTATGAGAGTTATAATTTTTTTTTAATAAAATTATAATTTAATTTGTACATATGAAATATTGATAGTTTATCGAAATAAAATTCTAAATTAACAATTTTATCCTAAAATTCTATCCAAATTCGATTGAAAATAGAATTCTAAATTAACTTTTTTATCCTACAAATTGAATTCTATATATCTCTATCCTACGTGGCGTGACACTTGGCGAAAAATTGGAATGCCAAGTGTCGCTATCTCGTCGTCTGACAAATTATATTAGATTGCAAAGTATATTATTTTAATTGATTAGAATATATTATAAATAATGGATGTGGTGCATTTTGAGCTAATTTCTTTGCTCCAAAAAAATACTATGATACAAAAAATAAATTTATATGATAATTTATGAGAGTTATAATTTTTTTTTAATAAAATTATAATTTAATTTGTACATATATTGATACTTTATCAAAAATAAAATTCTAAATTAACAATTTTATCCTAAAATTCTATCCAAATCTAATATATCATATAACTAATATATAAAGCTAAACTTTTAGCCAGTTCACGAGGCATCGACACTTGGCGTTAAACGCCAAGTGTCGCACCACGTTGGATGGATTTAAATAGATGATTAAAAAGTTAATTTAAAATTCTATTTAGATATATAATTTTAGGATAAAATTGTTAGTTTAGAGTTTTATTTTCAATAAAATACCAATATTTTAGAGGTACAAATTAAATTATAATTTTGTTAATTTTTTTTTTTGGATAAAATTTAGCAAATCGTCATAAAATCATATCAATTCCTAACTAATTTTGTATCAATGATATATTTAAAAATTTAACATAAATATTAAAAATTTATCTTCAATAAATAACCCGGGCATCGCACGGGGCACAAAACTAGTATATATATAAAGGGGAGTTTTTTCCCGAGTTTTTAGAGAGCCACGTAGGATCTAATTTTCTCAGCGCGCCATGTAGGATTATAAATCTTAGTAGTAGCCAATTAAATAAGAGATTATTAATTTCTTTTAGAATTAAATAATTTAAATGCCATGTAAGCAAAACTGGCGAATGAGATTTTTAAGTTTAAATTAATTAAATATTATATATTATCTTTTAATATTAGGAATTTTATCTAAATATATAACAAATTTTAGGCTCATAAATACAAAAAAAAAACATTATTTAAAAAAAATCAAACAAACCGTGCATCGCACAGGCTTCATGCAGTTTAATTGAAAATATAATTCTAAATTAACTTTTTTATCCTACAAATTGAATTCTATATAACTCTGTCCTACGTGGCGTGACACTTGGCGAAAAATTGGAACGCCAAGTGTCGCTATCTCGTTGCCTGGCTAAAAGTTTAGCTTTATATATTAGTTATATGATAAGTATGGATATCTCTAAGTAAAATTATAAAAAAAATGAATATTTATAAAATATACTCCCTCTGTTTTTTTATAGTTGCAGCACATATATTTTCACGATAATTAAGAAATGTAGGGTTTACATAATATAATACACTTTAATATGGGATGAGTGGTTGCTAATAGTGTAATTTAGAGAGTCATGTACTATAGATAAGGGAAACAGGAGGTTTTCCCTTAAAATAACTTTCCATTTATAGTGTGTTGTAAGTATTGTAGCAATTCCATTTTAGAGAAGTATTGCAGGTATTAAAAACGGAGGAAGTACATTGAAACGATTCAAACAAGATTTCACATGAATATGTTTCATCGTATTTATAAACTGCAAAAGTGAGTCAAAGCGTGTTATGCGAATAGCATAAAAGTCAAACGATGTCAACTAAAAAACCGGAGGAAGTATTTTTTTTTTTAAGTAAGGTGGAGAAGGGAAAGAAGAAAAAAAAAAGAAAAAAGAAATTACCCTCACAAGATAAATTCGTTATGCTTCGAAAAAAAATAGAGAGCTAAATAACTAAATACCTCAAAGCTCACGAAAACATAATAATTTTGGTTACCAACACCAATTGATACATACGAAGTACATAATACAAAACGATGACACATTTAATTAATGCACCACCAATTAAAGGACAACGGACACATACATATACTTTTAATATACCCTGTCAATGTACGTGTTACTCTTGATTTACGTATTACACCATGTCCTAACTCCTAAAGGTCTACTTTTCTAGTCTCCCTATTGGCATTGAAGGAGTTAGTTTCACCCTATAATAACTTGAGTCATAAATGACTAGTATCTTCCGTTGGTATTAACTATTAAGTGTCGTGTCTAGGCTAGAATTTGGGACCATGAGTCAAGTTTTAGGCTGGAATTTGGTGTATGATGGTGTTATACTCAGCTCGACTTGACTCATTTACATCCTTACCTAAGCTCATGGAAGCATAATAACTTGTGAAATACATGCTTGGCAAATACTTGGTATTTTTTGTTATGATCAAGTTATGCAGCAATCCAGTTTCTGGATTGCTACACATCTGAGCACTAATGATTGGGAGCATCCCTGGGCAACAGTTCAACTCACAGTTTGGCTTTCGAGTTTTCTTCTGTCACGCTTAGTTTTAGCTGATTTCTATACCTTAGTTGCTTGCTTTGTCAATAATACTTTCATGACTGAAGTTTGATTCCAAATAGCCAGCATTTCTTGCACAACAAACCTTATGTAATTGCTATCATACATAACATATGTCATGGAGTGATAGTGCTTCTAAAAGTTTGCATTTAACATTGGTCCATTTGTGGTCTGATCTCCTAGGTGTGCTCATATGAACATAGGGGTTTTTGCATCAACTCTACAGAGTACATTTTTTCACGAACAAAGCAAGGCCGAGGCAATGGAATCCATCATGGACTCATGGTCACCTCTGCTAGAATTGGCTCTTAGTCAGAGAATTGTGTCCTGCTGCCCTGCTGGTCAGTTCTTCCTGCTTTTAAGCTATTTTGAAAAGAGTTCAGTCTGTGAAATTGATTCTATGATGGCGTAGTTTTTCTTGACCTTCTTATGTTGGAGTAAACTTTTCTTCTTTCTTTGGAAGATAAAAGGTGCTTGCACTGGTGCTTGATGCTGCTGTTTTGTGTATCATAAAGTCGTACACTGATAAATATACAAGTATTAGTAAGATCAATAAAAGGTTCCAAATCGTGTCATTTTCTTTCATAGACTGATTTCGCACATAATTTACATCCATTGATAAATACCATTCCTTACATTTCCTCTATTATATATGCTCACAAGCCTAAATGATCCAATCCACTGCACAAAACATTTATACAGGAGTAATAAAGAGTATAAATATTACATGATGTATCCTATCAAAGCATTGACTAGAAGTAGCTGGATTGATCTTGTAGCAATTCAAGCTGCATCAATATGTTAGCCACCAGGGGTCTCAAAGAAGGCTCCCCTTTGTGAGCAAGATCGATTAACACCACTTGAGTTGAACCTCCATACTTCGATCTAAATTCTTCAATCCGAAGAACTCT